TTATTTCTCTCTGGTGTTCACATGTGAAAATTTCCTGGAAAACTGAACTCCAGATATAAAAAGTATTATTTGACTGAATCTTTCTAAATACAGTAGTTATTAGAAGTGAAAATTTTTCATCTTCATACTCTGATTCAAATAAAATCAATGTTACATGATACTTGGGCAGTAAGTATAGAAGTATGTAGTACATGGATGTCTGCTACTTAAGGGGTATTAAAGTTGAAATCCTGGCTTCAAATTGTTAAAACTGAAACATCTACTTTTCTAATACTGCGGCTGGTTTCGAATTTTAAGCTAACAGCATTATTATACTGTATAAAACTGTCACTACCTACTACGATTTCTCTAGAACTACACTCCCCAACACACAAAAGGTACTTCCTTCATGCCAAATTACACTCATTCTATCAGCATATGGCCAGGTAATTATAAGGAGACAAGCCAACTGTTAGATGAACTCAAAGACCTAATTCCCAAAGGAGATTCATATATTAGATTATACAGAAATTCTTATTTCAAAAATTAGGCTATGCTAATTAACCTTGCAGATTCCCTATTTTTATGTCATTACTTTCAACTGATTTTTTGGAATTAGTGTACTTCTTACTATCAAACCTGTACATGGATACTTCTTTTTCCTTTTTTTTTTTAATTTACTAAATTATAGTAAGTCGTGATTTGTAAGGTCATATATTCAAATCACTAATTAACTAAAATGTACTTATTTGATATTTGCCACACACTCAAATGTACTAGGATTGTTATATTTGAGGAATATGAATTTTAAAATAAATAATATAAACACTAATGATACTAAAATTTTAATTCATCTGGCACTATCACATACTATCAAAGGAAAGAAGAGAGACAGAAATGAGGTAAGTTAAAGAACTACAAATTAATGTGATGTAGATATACTGAAATAGGACCAACTTTGGGGCTTTAATTTAAAAAAAAAAAAGAAAAGAAAGAAATCTTGCAAATGCTTTTCACAAAATACCTCCAGGAGCTAGGTCCACATTCAAAAATGAACAAAACAGGAGTTCCCAATATTTGTCAGATCACAGTACTAAATGTCACTTCTGGGAATATTATCACAGAACCAGACGGCAAAGAAAGGTATTTCTAGCTGTTAATTGATTATCTCCATGCAAAAAAAAAAAAAAAAAAAAAAAAGGATTCCATTTTCAGTGTTTTCTAAAATATAAGGCCATAATGAATAAGGTGCATTTCGCAACTGTTAAATTGTACAAAATGCCCACAACAGCACCTCATTTACTTCCACTGATCCCAGGGACCAGATCAAGGATCACGCTGCTTCTAAGGCAGATTCTCCCAGCTCCGCGAAGGACAGAACCCGGGAGCACCCCCTGAGCAGTGGCCAGCTGGGTAAGAAACAGGAAAAAATTCCGAGTGGGGGTGATAAACATCTGGGTAAGTTATTTAGGGCAGCTGTGAGATTTCATTTTCCTAAATAACAGAACGAGCTCTGATCTGCCTTGGGCAGGTTTTGAAGTAATGCTGTTCAGATTCAAAACAGGGTAGGCTTCTCCAAGCCCCTTCCAGACACTGAGCCGATGAATTACGTTTATCCAACAATACCAGAAGCGACCAAACACAACTTGTGCTAAGCAATACCTTTACTTAACTGGAAGATGCGGCAAAGGTGGCTTTCTGAAGAGTTTAACGTGTTCTGCTACATATCTGGGTGGGTCTTTTTTCCCCCTGTTAGATATCTGGGTGGTTTTCATTGCATTTTCTTGCTTCTTCTGAACCAGAACTTGACTGCTTTTATTTTCCAAAATTTAATTTCTACACCAAATCCTAATTACAGCATGGGCCCAAATGACTAAACTGATTTCCCTAACTAACTACATGACCTTGGGAAGTCGCGTCTTGTAAAATGAGAGGCTTGCACTGAGAGCCACTAGAAGGTAACCTTCACGTTCACTAGTCAACTCCCACCCCCAGGGGACAATGAAGACACTGCATGTTTACTGCCTGTCCCCAAACTACACATACAAATGTAGTCTTCTTTTCTTTTCTAACACTTCTATTTTCATCTGTTTATCCCCAAACGTTCTGAAGAGGACACTAAAACTGAAATTTCCTATGTACCAAAAATAACTGTACAGAATTTAAAATAAGGTACTCATTTTTTTAAGAAATGGAACAGGTAGGTTATACAAGAGCTGACAAACTTCACCCAGTTTGTTGCACTTCCCCTGTCTTCCTCCCCATTAAGCCTCTGTGGCAGCCTGACCCACCTTCATCTGAAAGGAAGGTCGTGGGAGTGAGAAAGTGCATGGGCCATGCAGTGAGAAGGCCCGAGTTCTAGATCCACTGCTTCCATGCACTGGCTCTGTGGGCACGAGCCACTTCCCCTTTGGGCCCTGCCAGACTGTTTGCTTAAACAAAAGAGCTGGACAAATTCCTAATTTCCAAAGTCTTCCACTTTAAAGATCCACGAACCTTTCATTCCATCCATTACTCTCCTCCTAATGCCTTGGTTCAGCGCTTGCCGCATCTTTCCTAGACTAGTTCACCAGCCTCAAGACGGTCTCTTTCCCCCCTCTTTATTTTTCCTTCTTATCCTAAAATGAATCCGATCCTAAAACCATGAGCAGAGCAGGGTAAACCAGCACACGGTCTTTGAAGCCCTAAAAGCATCAGGTTCAAATCCAGACTGCCATGAACAAATCGTCTCTCTCAAACAACAGGGATATTACCGACTTCACTGAGGACTAACACAATATATGAAGCGCCTAATACAGTGTCCGACATGCTGGAGATGGTCAACACCAGCACCTCTCCCAGGCAGGGTCAGAAGCCTCAGTTTCCTACTCTCTCCAGCAAGGATGACCCACCAGCTAGCTACACAGGTGGCGGGCAGAAGATCTATAAAACCCCAGGGAGAAACTGGGTTGACCGTTGTCACCAGGCTCCTGTGTAAAGCAGCTCATATTTCTGGGTAAAGTGGCCTCAGCCCCGAGCCCCTCCTGAACTCTCCAGATCAAATGGTACACCCTCCCCAGGCCAAAAAGCCACATATCAAGAGGAAATGAAAACGTGACACAATTCTTCAAAGAGATAAAGATTCTCTGGATTTTACCTGAAATCAAACTCCCCAGCCTGTCATTCATGTGACAAGATGCCAGTTGCATTTCTTTGCACTGAAATCTCTAGATGGTATGGCCAAGGCTGAAGTACCAGCAAGATCGTTTAATCTGATTTCGCAAGCATAGGCAATTAAAAGGTGTGACAAAAGAAACAAAGAATAAGATTTCTCACAAAATGAGGATACAGCGAACTTCAGAGTTAGACAAATACCTGCAGAAAAAGCAGTGACTTTCTTCTTGGTTTCAAAACCGGGTCAAAACTGGAAGGGGCGAGTAGAGGACTGATAGGGGCGAGCAAAGAGAAGCTCATTTCTTAAAGTGACCCGAGGACAGTCATTTAATTCTGTGGGATCGTTTTCCCAAGTCAGGAATAATAACAATCTTTACCTTCACACACTAGTCAATCATAGAACTGAGTTACAGGCTAAAGGAGGGCGACCAATCAAGTGTGTGGAAGTCTGGCAACCTAAGAAATCTTGGGAAGAAACCGTTTTCTCTGAAGCGGCACCTTCTCCCCAAGTGACTTCAGCCCATGCTACTGCTGCAGGAGCATGTAACGAATAGGATATAGCATAATTTGAGAAAAACGCTTTCGGAAGGCTTAGCTTCATTAAGAACTATGCAAATTCAAATCTCTAATTCAAAAGGACTAGCCCACTAATCTGAGATCTGTGAGACCTGTGCACTTCGGGGATCGGGCCAAGCCGCTCTCTACCTGACTCCGGAAACGCACTATTCTATGAATCTGACCAAAATTCTGGACGTGAGCTGCCATTTTCCTGCAGAGCAATTATTTCACAAGCACTGGCGCTTCCGGTTGATCCCTTCTAAAAAACTGCAGTTAAAGTCCGTTTTCTTCCCCATGGTCTTTGCTCACACCCCAAACTAAACAGGCCTGATTTTCCCCACCCAGACTTGAGATCTGTGACCAGAGCCATTCTTCGCCTAGATGGCCCTTTCTGGTTAACAGATGCCTCCAACCCTCCATTTCTGTCCCACTGTGCCCCCTATCCCTCTGCACAGCACCCTCAGTGCTTTTCCCTTCTATTCTTTTCCCTTCTACTTTCCCCTCATTTCTGACCTTGCCTGTGACCAGTACTTCCCTTACCTAGACCTGGTCCCGGCTTCACCCTTCAACTCCAGGCCTCTTACCTCTAGCCTCCCCAGTCCAATTCCCACCTGGCCTTACTAACGTCGGCCCCCCCAGCCCAGACTTTATTGCACCGCCCCCTCCCCCACCTTCTACCAATTCCTCTCATCCCTGGTCCCTACCAGTTTCTCTTCATTTTCAGACCCTGTCCAATCTCCTCTCTTTCTGGGCTAAAACCCAAACCCCATTCCTAACCGCAGCAGTCCTCTGACCCGCCCATCCCACTTTCTCTGACTCTGAACCTGGTGCCTCCCCTACTCCCTCACTGAAAGCCGGGGCCATGAGATCGCCGGCCCCAGCCTCGCCTACTAGTACCCCATTTCTGACCCCTAACACACGCGCCCTCCCCATCGCACACTCCAGGCTACCGCGCCGATCCTCCCGCATCGCAGATGCACGCCTTGGACCCTCCTTCCCATCCCCGACCGGCCGGTCCTGCGGCGTGCAGAGCCCGGGGCCCACGAGGACCCCCCGCCCCCACCGTGCCGCGCAGCCCTGCCCCGCGTCCCTAATGCCCATGCATGCCCCTCCCGGGGGAGTCCCTCTCCCCACCTGACCCCGGCCCGGTGACCTCCGCCCCCGCCGGGCCCGGGACTCCATTCTCTCCGTTTCCGAGCCAACCCCCGCCCCGAACGCCCTCCGCGCTCCCAGCCCAGTGGGGTGTGTCCCCCTGCCCAGGGAACTCCTGCCACTGGCCTCTCCCGCGGGGTCACGGTCGCCCTCCTCACCTCGGCGTCCACCACCTCGTGGTAGGCGGGCGGGGGGTCGAAGCCGCCGCCGCCCCCGGTGCTCCCGCCGCGGGAGGGGCCGCCGCCGCCGTCGCCGCCGCCGTCGCCCCGCGAGCCGCCGCCGGGCCCGGGGCTGGGGCCGCCGCCGCTGTCCATGGGCTCGTAGCCGCCGTAGTCGAGGCCCGGCCTCTCGTTGGTGAGCAGCGCCACGGCCTCGTTGATGTCGTTCTTGGCCAGGCGCAGGGCCTTGCGGATGGTGGCGGGGTCCGAGAAGCCCATGCACAGCAGCGTGGTCATGTGCTGCTCCTCCTCCGATTCCATGGCTCGGGCCTCCGAGCCGCGCCGGCCGGCGAGCGGCGAAGCTGCGGCTCCCCGGCCTGGCGGGCCGCGCGGCGCTCCTTCCGCGCCGCTCCCGCGCCCGAGCGGGCCCCTGCGCTGCCGGCCTGCGCGCTCCGCAACCGCCGGGCCAGGCTGGGCGCGGGCGTGGACGCCGCGAGCCGAGCGAGGGCGGTGGGGCGCTCAGGCGCGGCGGCTGCCCGGCCCAGCCCTGCGCGCCGCCATGTTGGCCTCCTCCTCCGCCTGCGCCTCCGCCTCCGCCTCCTCCGGCCGGCGGGGCCGCGCCTCCGCTCCCGGAAGCGGCCGGGGCTGCCCCAGGTTCGCCGAGGACTGCGCGGGAGAGGGGGAGGGGGCGAGTGCCTTTTTTTTTTTCTTTTTAACTTAGACAGCGAAGGGAGGGGCCGCGCCGCGGAGCGTCTCTAGGGTGAAAGGGCCGCCCAGACACCCGGGCGGAGGCGAGGGAGGGTCCTCGGCCGTCGCCACCGCCCGCCTCTTTCTCCAGCAACAGGTTCCCGCGGGACGCGCGGAGGCGAAGCGCAGCCCGCTGCGCGGAACGTCCCCGGAGTCCCCGAGAGCCGTCGGTCCGGCCCAGCCCTGACGGCGGTTCCCTCGCACCCCGAAGCTGCTTAGGGCCCCCGCTGGCCTCCTCTCCCGGCGTGGCTCGTCCCCGCGCGCGCGACACGCACGCCATCCCGGGTGGGATTCATTCGGCCGCGGCTGCACTTCCCCGCCAGCCCGGCCTGAGACGCGCGCCGCAGTCCCAAAAGAAATGCACCCCAAACCACGGAAATTCGCCCGCCGCGCTGCCTGCAATACACTCCAACACCCACCTCAATTCATGCCTACACCGGGCACAGCGGTCCACCGGGGCCGAAAATCACCCCCACGCAACGCGACCCAAATCCCTCCGGCTCGCCCTGAAATCACCCCAACCCGGCTGAAATTGATTCCCAGCCCTCGCTGAAGGTTCCTTGCAGCCACTTGCCCCCCCACCAAACGTAGCCGAATTCCACCAGACTCTTAGACTGAGGTCCCCTGGGCGTCTGAAACGTATTTTTACGTCCTGAACTCAATTCCAGCGCTCGTCAACGAACACCTTCGAAAAACCCGGAGTGCATCGCACGGCGAGTCACAGGCTCATTCGAACTCCTTGGACCTCTGCTCCTCTCCTGATGCTGACCCACCTACCCACACTACTGCATCTCTTGGCTCAGGATTCTGTTTCTGCATTTTGAAGGAGAACCCTACCCACTCGGTTTCTGCCCTTTACGGGAGGACCCCACTGCTGTTCATTCCTCTTCCCTCTGAGGCCTGTTTGCTTTGCTTTCTCTTTCCACCTTGAGGATTAGCATCCAGGGGCTGTGTCTTTGGTTTCCTTGACTTCACTATCCAAGCTCCAAACCCTGACTCTTGCTCCCCCCACCCCCATCCCCGTCAATTTCCTTTAATTCATGCTTCTAGGTTCTTTCCCCACCATCTCCAAAGATCCATCATGATGCCTGCCCTTTCTTTATCTCACTACATATTTGTTAACTCAGTTTACCTCCGAAGGCGCTCACCCTTGTGAGCTTCCTTCTTCCAGAACCCAGAAGTCCACCAACTAACCTTTCTCATCCCATCAGACCCCTCCTTGTGACAACGCAGCACTCACTAAAATCTCCACCTATCCCAAATCTTAAATTCCTGTCGGGACCCAGAAAATTCTCTGCTCTCTGGTAGCATCTTTCCCCCTGGACCACAGGACCCTTGCCTAGTACTCGCTCCCTGTATTTATAAACACCAACATTTTGATTTCCAGGGTGATTTTATCACTGTTGTTTACATCTGAATGAAGTGACTACAGTTGTTGTCTGGATTAAAGGCTGTGTTAGGGAACAATGACTAGGCCTTCGCAAAGGAAGCAAAGTCAATTTGTGAATGAAAATAAAACAAATCCTTCTTACATTTTTGAACACTAACCAAAAAAAAAAAGAACCTGCTAAGGAAGAATGCCTAGAAACGAATCAGGTTCCAGGGCATATATTGAAATAAAATTTTACGAAGTGGCAGAAACTTCCAAGTACTTCAATGGTGCTTAAATATTTATCTGTGGGATACAAGGACCAAAAGTAACGTAAATGAAGCCAAGTAGCCTATCGTAGAGTACGTGCCAAGATATTTCGCTTATTCAACAAATAAGTGTGCTATTTATCAGGCACCAGGTACTGTTCTTGCCACTGGTGATGCGGCGCTAAACAAAGCTGACAAAATTTGATGATGGAAAGGCGATGGCATTCAATGTTGCCCTGTGTCTGTAGAGTTAATTCAGTGACCAAATGAAGAAATGCATTACGTAGGGTGTGGTGGTGGGGGTGGTAAGTAACACGTAAAGGAAAAATATGGGTTGCCACTGAAATTTGAGACCGCACCCAAGAAGTACTGAGACTGAGCCGGCCAATTCAGATGGCACATAAAAAGACTTATCGACAGTGGTAGGTTTATAAAACACGACAGAGGAAGCTGTGCCTAGCTGAGAAGAGGAAGCAGAGAAGGAAGCAGAGAAAAACAAAGTCTGTGATAAAAACTGGAAAGGAGCCACCAAAGGCTACAAAAAACAAGGAAGGCCATTTTTGAACCGGATCCTGGAGTGGCTGAAAAGCCAGAGTGTCATTTGAGGATGCGAGTAGTTATAATCACACTTTTTTGGCATATAAGAAAGCAAGTGAGGCTTTAAACCCTACTGAATCGGGATAGCAGTGGAGGGGCCTCTGGTGTGAATATTCATGCTTTCACTCACATTTTAGTTTTTATTGCAGTAAAATCCTGAAAATGTTAAAAGGGCTAAAAATAAATAACATTCAGTTTGCATGTATCCTTCTCTAGAATATTCTAGAAGAAAAAAAATAGGTCTTAAAGACAGGTATGATGGACTATCTTGAAGACAAAATATGAGGGTTTTCTAATACTAAAAAGTAACTTTAAAAATATTTAGTGAGTGTCTACTTTGAACCAGGCCTAGGACTAGATAGACACCCCTAGGTGCCTAGACAGCAAGACTAGAGGAAAACAAAGACTAGAGAACAAGACACAGTTCCTACCCTCTTATTTATTTATTTATAAGGTTTTTTTTTTTAAACATTTATTTAGTTTTGAGAGACAGAGAGAGACAGAGCATGAGCAGGGGAGAGGCAAGAGAGACGGAGACACAGAATCTAAAGCAGTCTCCAGGCTCTGAACTGTCAGCACAGAACCTGACACGGGGCTCAAACCCACAAACCTTGAGATCATGACCTGAGCTGAAGTTGGACGCTTAACCAACTGAGCCACCCTGGCATCCTAGCTCCCGTGCTTTTGGAACTTACTATCTTTAAAGGGAGACAGACGATAAAGGGGTAATCATAAAGTGTGATAGGTGCTTTGATAGGGAATTTCAAGATGTAAGGGGCAAATTTCTTGCCTTCTCTGGGGGTAAAATTACCAAATGTAGGAAATCTAAACTATGCCAGGAAGTAGGAAAGCCAGGAAAATGAATATGAGATGAAAAGAGAGAGATCCAAAGACTACAATAGTATGTGCAAAGGCCCTGGAGTAAGAGGAAAGCAACGGAGAAGAATTAAAAGCCAGTGGAATACGGCTGGAGTTCTAGAGAGGTAATAGTGAGAAGGGATTCTGGGAATGTGGCCAAACACCAGATCTGAGAGGGCTACTTAAACCTGATAAGGAGTTTGCACTTTATTTTGAGGGAATGGGAAGCCACTGAAATATTTATATGGAGGAGGGAGGTGCTGTTATTTAAATTTTGGGAAGAGTGCCCTGTGAAGGATGATGTAAAAGGGAGGAAGGGTAGAGGTGGAGAATTGAATTAATTGATTAACTTGGTTGCTGATGGTAACTGGCAAACCCATTAAAGCAAAAAGCAGTGCCAAATGACGGGCTCGCTGCTCTGTACTTCCTTTCTCTTTGCGATTTGGCCCTGGAAGTTCTCCCTTGGAAACTTTCAGTGCCTTCAAACAGATACTCTATTCTTCCCAGCTTGTCTTGTTGGTCTCAGTAAGAGGGATGGTCTTAAACAAGCAAATCTGTCATAATTGGAAGGAGAACTGTCATAGAAGAGAAGAAGATGGAGAAAATTCCTCAAGGCAGCAGATAAAAGAAGCACACCTTGAATCCTGAGAACAAACTGAGGGCTGATGGGGGTGGGGGAGAGGGGAAGGGGGGAGATGGGCATGGAGGAGGGCACTTGTGTGGATGAGCACTGGGTGTTATATGGAAACCAACTTGACAATAAACTATAAAAAAATAAATAAATGCAAATAATAAAAAGAAAGAAGCAGACCTTGACAGAGGGAGATTTTCCAAGATGAGGAAGAGGTTAGTGTTTTGGATATTCGGTGAGGAGGAAGAGCCTTGCCCTGCTAGCTCAAAGTGCCCTAGGAAGTAGAAAGAGCTCAGAGAAATGACTGTCTCAGTCCCAGATTTGCAGGCTCTACAAAATCCCGCAATCTCTAGCCGGGCAGGGAAGCAATGGAATCCTCTTCCTTCAAATGACCTTAGCCTATACAGGCTTAGATTGTGATCCCTTTAGTGCTAACGAGTATAGACCATGGACCAGAGGACTCTTCCTGACAACGCTGTAGATGCACAAGTCTGTGCATTTTGCACAAGTCCCCCAGCAGAAGGAGAGAGGACCCTAATTATGACTATAATTCAACATCTCAATACTTTGGTGGGGGGGACGTTGAGTGAGTTTTGTTTCTGAAAAAATAAAATGACATTTAAGTTTTTTTAAATATTTATTTTTGAGAGAGAGAGACAGAGTGTGAGCAAGGGAGGGGCAGAGACAGAGAGGGAGACACAGAATCCGAAGCAGGCTCCAGGCTCTGAGCTGTGAGCACAGAGCCTGATGCAGGGCATGAACCCACGAACTTTAAGATCATGACCTGAGCTGAAGTCAGATGCTAACCACTGAGCACCCATGCACCCCAACTTTTTTAAATGTTTGTTAATTTTTGAGAGACAGAGACAGAGACAGGGGGAGGAGACATAGACTCAAGCTTTATCCCTGTTCTGTTAGTATGTGTCCGTATTTCACTCTGTATTCTGGCTGAATAATGTTGCATTATAAATATGTCATATTTTGTTTATCCATTCATAATGGACATTCGAGTTGTTTTTACTGTCTGGGTATTATGAATAATGCTGCTATAACGGTTTATATGAATGTTTTTGTGTGGACATGTTTTCATTACT